GCACCGGAGGGACAGCTGACGTGACGGATGTTGGTTTCCCATCTTCTAGGTGTGGATTATTGGGTCGCACAGGTCTGAGAGCAGGTTTTTAAGGGACGGGGACTAAGATTGAGGCCCTACCTGTTTCCACTGCCGAGAGCTCAAAGCTAGTGGCAGACTGCACAAGCTAAAAGCACACAGGACGCAATTTCATTAAGACACGTCCATCTCGCATCTGTCTCTAATTCTTGCATTCTCATATAGGAGTCAAGAAAATGTTTTCTTTGCTGTCGCTGCTGCAGCTCAAGAATTTCAGCAGCATGTCCGAGAACTGAGCGACACTTTCTCCTCCTCTGCAGCACTTTATCCTCAGAAGGACAGAAGGAGGGAATATGGACACACAAACAGAGGAGCATTAATAATACAAACTCGCACACACATAAAACCTTCCTTTTTTGTTTTGTTTTTTACAGCGGACACACTCACAGAGGCAGCAAGTGTGTGTGTGCTGCAGACACAATGTGCGAAGTGTGACGCTGAACAAGCCATACAAGCCACTACAGGTGGTTAAATCTTAGCCAGTCCAGGTGTGCCTGTGTTGCAATCAGAGCGACTGGATTTCACCCCAATCGTGAATGTATTTGTCTGTGTGTGTGTGTGAATGTGTGTGTGTGAGAGAGAGAGAGGAAGAGAAAGAAAGAGAGAATGTGGTTGAATGCAGCAGTACATATATATATATATTATGAGCACAGTCCAGATTGAGTCCAGCTCTTAAGCTTTTCTATAGTTTTCAACCGTTCCAATGTTTATAATGCAGAATGCTGTACATTAATTTCGCTCATATTTACACTCAGAAATCAGAAAACTTGTTATTCCTACCTTTTTGTGCTCATGTACAGTATTATTTTGTATATATCTATATAAATATTATGCCATATCTTTCTCCAGTTGTTTTTTTTTTTCTTTCATGGTAATATTAAAGGATAACTTCAAATTTCGTCTTGTTTTTGTCACTTGGCCATCGTTTATCAGCACTGATAAGCCTTCTGATAAACTGCAGTGCCTTCAGAAAGCCTACAGAGGGAAGAAACACACGAGCCAACAACCAGATTTCCACACAATTGGGGCCAAACGAGCAACACCTGTGCTTACCAGTACAGTTTGCAAAGTGATGCAATTAAAATTGAGGCCCCTTGTGAGAAAAAATTTTCCACTGTTTTGCTATTTGAAGATAAAACTGACCCTGAATGTGATCCTGTTTGAAAGTCTGGCACAAACAACTAATAAACACGGGAAATAAAATCTGTCTATAAAATCAAGCAGCTGTAGTTCAGACAGGTCATGAAGTCGAGCTCAGCTGCAAAACCTGGCACTTCATCTGATCTCGTATGCCAGCCCGCATCACCTCATACCTATCTTCACATCCAACTGGCAAATCTTAAGATTCAGTGTCTTGGCAGCATCCCAAAAATAGGCTTCCGAGATTATTAGAAAGAAAGCTCTTCTAAGGGACATTTGAGTCTGCCTTCACAAGTGAGTAAATCCCCACAAAGTCACATGTTAACATTCCCGACTTTACATTTTTGGGATCTATAGATGGTTGAATGTTTGTATAAATCCATGTGGAGTTTTAGTGACTGATTGTCTTGTATTTCATTGTGCCTTCACTGTGCCTCTGCATTGCTCTCCTACAGTTTACAGATGATATACTGATTTAACTAAATAACTTGGCAGTTAACTCTTGGGTCCAAATATGGCAACTTAAGCCTCCAATAAAACCAATGTGGTGGTTTACATCACTTTAACTAAGGGTGTTTTTATGCCTATGGTTAATTTACTCTGGTCCAAATCAGTCGATGAATAAACTTGTAGTATTTTCCCCGTCGTTTAGTTTCAGGATGAAGATGGTGTGTTCTGGTAGAAGTGGATAACATGGAGCAATATCTCCATTTGTATGTCTGGTGTACTGTCGAATCTCAGAATGGAAAGCTGGTCACGGGAAGGCATTTAGCTCAGACTTGCAGGGTCAGATTGAGATCGGATCACACTCTCACCATAAATTAACTGCTCTGGAGTTTATCTAAGTCGTCTTATTGTAGTTGTTTAGGTTCACATCTGCACAAACAAAACGCACCGAGGGGGGAAATGAAGAAGGCCTCAATTGTGTATGAAAACACCCTCAGTCTCTCTTTTATGTGCAGTCTGAGAGGCAGAGAAGGCAGGTCCCAAACTAAACTTTTCTCTACCAATGAGAGTGAAGGATACTGTTCACAGATATATGATCGGGGTACATTGGCAGTTGGAGTGATGCATGATGACCAAAATCAATGTTATTGCTTCCCAAATGTGTAAAAGAAAACTGACAAGAACAAGAATTAAAACGGGGACGGACAAAACTGCAACAAAGTAGAAAAACTGTCTTGTTGAGCAACCTCCGTTTGCTGCTGAGCATAGCTGAAACTAGACGCGCATATTTTCAACAACAATCGATATGACTGCCAAGACCTTGAAATACTTCACATAAACTGGACAAAAATATCCTTATCACACTGCTCTCTTTCCCACACACACGCCTCCTGCTCCTCTCCCTGTGTCCCTTCGCATTAAGTCATCCATCACTCCTGCTCCCAAAACACTCTCCCCTACATTTGCACAGCACCGCAGAATGTAGACCACAACAGAGGCGCCGGGGCCGGCGCACACACTCCGTTTGGCTGTAGACTTGGTGCGTGTTTTCCACTCGCCATGACGTGGTTGGCTGAGAGGTGTGGACACATTCCTGGCGCGTCAAGCAGAGCACCGTGGCAGGTGGGGTCAAAGGTCGCTCACCTGTCTACCTATCTCACCTCAACAACAAGAGGTGAGCATGAGTGGATATTTTCTCACAGCCAAACCGGATAGCCTCTTGTACCCACATTTCCCCATTTGCGGCCCATTCACAGATTTGTGGCAGAGGGGTCACGGCTCCACTGTTTCCAGACAGCGGTGTAAGGGGTGAACGAGTGCATACTCTAAGAGGAATGTGACCACGAGAACTGCCGCAGTACAAGTAGGGAGATATAGATTTACTTCCTTTTAATGTTAAATTGCACTTCTATATCACAGCATTTATTTTGCGTTAGCATGTGTTACTAATTCATACGTTTGGATAGGATTTAGGAGTATCTATTTGAAAAATAAGATTCATTTGCAGATACAATAATTCAAGGATTCAAGGAGCTTTATTTGTCATTCGCATCACATGTTACCATGAGGTGGACCAAAATTATGTACACACGGTCCCGGAGTGAAAAGAAACAAAAATAATGAAGAAACAGAATTTATTTATTTTTAAGTAATAAATAAATATTTGTTTTTTGTTTTGTTTGTTTTGTTTTTTAACAAACAGAAATGACATGTAATAACACAAAACAATAAATAATACTGTAACTGATATAATATAATAATAATTATGAACCCAAGGTAGTAGTATAGAAGCAGAAAAAAATAAGTCAAAATGTATAGTTGCTTTCTCAGTTTCAAGTTTTTTTCTCAGAAGTTTGAGTTAGTAAGTCCAGATTTTGAGATAATAAGATGAAATTTTGACTCATGGATGGCAACAGTTTTTGTTTTTTATTTTTTGCAGTGGCAGAAAAAAGCTTCAATACAACAAGCAGATGTAAGTGCACTAAGCAAAGAGAAAACACAAACATTGAAAGGTAAAAATAGCGTAAAACACACAAGTTAATCAATAAAATGACAATAAAATACATAGAAGTTAAATAAAAATAACTATGTAAAACAATGAGTTAAAACTAATAAAAGCAAATAAAAATAATAGAGCAAAAAGTGATAAAATAAGCAGAAATTTGGTAAAATTATATCAAAACCAGAAATAAGACTCCCGAAACACATCAAATACAGTCACCTTAAGGTGCTTTACACTGTAAGGTGATAATCAACTCTGAACGTGCTTTTAACAGGAAGAGACCAGCGTTGAAACCAGGCTCAGGGAGGGGCAGTTGTGATTTTAATGCCTTTTTCATCCCAGTGTGCTAAAAAAAATGAACTGAATTTACAGAAAAAGTAACAAAAAGAAAAAGAACAAATGGAAAGCTCTCATAAAATTTTTTATAGTCTTTTCTGCCCTCCCGCTAAGCAAGCTTACTTCTAATTGGTTGCCCCTCGTAAGCATCAAGTATGAGCAACATGGGTGGGTGGAGCATCTGTGCTCAAAGCCAGAATGATTGCAGGTTCACAGTATGCGTACTTGTGTGTACTGATTCTTCTTGTGTAGTACTGCAGCACAGTACAGAAGTTAAATTAGACCAACAGTGAATAATATGAAGCCGAAATAAGGTAGGTTAGTACATGGCTTCAAGGAAAATAAACAAAAACGACACTGAATATGTCGTTTTTGACTATGACAGTATTACACCAACCTCAATTTAAGTGAAATTCAGTTTTTCATTTTTAAAAACTCTGTGTGAACTTTTTTCCACTTCTAAAGTGACACAGGCCAAAGAGAACTTTGAGAACTGCAGGATTAGACAGTGAAGGAGGTGTTTGTGGGAACTGGCCTTGAAGCGTAGACGCAATAGGAAGCCACAAACACGTGCACTGCTGCAGCTGAACCATGGACCCCCCCATCCCCATCCTTCTTGTTGGTTCTCTCAGTCATTGTCCCAGGACTGACTGGCCATTCTCAGCCTGCGATGGAGATGTCCTACAGGGGGGTTGCATGCTGTGGGAAACTAGTTGATGAATGAGTGTTTGGCATGCTTGCATAGATGCATAGTTTGCTCCAGTATAGTTTGTGTGTGTGTGTGTGTGTGTGTGCTTGTGCGTGCGCACACATTATTGTAGTAATACTGAATACATGCATATGTGTGTGCCTGTATGAACACAATGCCTCACTTGTGTTGCTATAGAAGTGGAGTTATGGCCTTTGTCCTGTCAGCATTCTTGTGTTGCTGTTGGCTCTGGAGTGCAAGGCAGCTCCCGCAGGCTTGGGGACAATAACACCCCCCACCAAACACATACAACCCCCCACCTTCCCTTCCTCACTTGGAGTCACAATGCGCCTCTTGGGCAGCACCCATCACCCTGAGACAAACAAAAATGGCCTACTCAGGGTGTCAGAGCAATATCCACCCAGAGGACCACGGGTATTAAAGGCAATTAAGTTTAAAAATATTTCCTCCTATAAATGTACAGTTACAGTGGTCTAATAAATTTAAAAGAGATATGCAGTTTTCATTGCATCAAGTCAGTAATTAAAAAGAAACTGATGCAAAATACTTTGTCCAATAATCTGTGTGGCCAGACTGCTTCCAGCTGACAGGAATGCAACAGT